AAAAAAACACAAAAAAAAAATTTTTTTTTTTTTTTTTTTTTTTCCCCCCCCCCCCCCCCCTTTCTTTCTTATTTCTTTCTTTTCCAAACAAAACCACAGCAAACCCTGCTCGGCCGCCGGGATGGGCTGAGGGCTCAGCCACATGCCGTACAATACCGCCCGTACAATCCAGCCCCACAATTCCTGTCCACTCCTGGGATATTTACGACATATCCCACAGTTGTCATGTCAACACGACAAGCAAGGGCGGCCTTAAATCAAGCTGTCAAGGGGCCAGAACAGTACTGCTATGCAAAATAACACCACTGACTGACACCAGGCATTGCATCTGTCATTTCGGGAGGTTTGCGGCTGCTCCCTTGCTACGTTTGGGTTGGTCCTTTGGAAGAGGAGTAGGGCAAGGGAAGAATATCAATGAGGTGGCAAAGATGGCCTCTTTTTTTCAAAAAGAAAGGAAAATTAGAGTTTGTTGGAGTATGAGGTGGTTATTTTCCTTCGGGTGGGATTTGTTGTAAGCTATGTGCCGCACGTCCTCTTGGAAATGGTGCAGCCACATCAATAATTCTGCTGTTGAGCCTGGAAGATGTTTACCGCCAACCACCACAACTTCTTCGCTCAACCTACGCTCCTTGGACAGCTGCAGTAGGAAGCTCGTCTTCACCTTCACCCTGCCCAAAGCAATCTTCCTCCCTCACCCCTGAATTTCGTCAAGCGTGCGGGCAGCAGTTATCAAAGAGCACATTTTTAGTGTAGCCAGCCGGCTTCCCCAAGGAAAAGGAGCAAAATACACGGATTCACAGGGTGGCTGCCCATCCGTCCCTGTAATAACGCTGGAGGCAGCAGGGCTCTCACTCCTGCAAGTTTTGTGCAAATACATTAGCGGGCTGGAGGAGGGGTTTGCCGGGGAGCGGCAGGGAAGCTGCACTGGGGAGCGCATCCCCATCGCAGCAGGAGCCAGGAGCTGGTTCCAGGGAGAAGACTGATTTTCTATACTTTCTTACAATTTATTTTCATTTTTGGATGGGACAAGAAGAAATACCATCTGCATTTCAAGCCCCCTGCCCCAAAAGAAAAGACTATTTGGGCAGAATATTTCGTTAATGCTTCTGAAGCACAAGGATTAAGGAGGTTAAATACAAGTTTGTTAAGCACATCAGGACATATAAAAGCCCGCTGCATTCTGCTAGCATGGGAAGCACTGTATTTTTCAGTGCTGGAAATCCATTTAGCCTTTAATCAAGCTAAGCCTGAATGTTTGAATACAGATTTTCCGATACATATAAAAGTACCTGCGTAGGTGATGATTACATTAATCGTGACTGTATTTATTCCCATTCTGTTCATTGTAATGTAGCTTCACTCGGAGGGTACTCATACCCTTAAACACTTTAGCATACGCTTGAGACTGGCACACGCCTACGTGCTGTGCCAGACCAGGGCACCAACCTACACCTAAACCTCTACTTTCGTCCACGACTTGCCCAGAGCGACCGATTACTCCTCATCTGCCCACCATAGCTCCATACACTTCCATATATTTTGCTCCACAGCATCACTAGGAAAGCGGATGGCGACCCAGGCGGGCAGGAGTCTTGTCCTCGCCGGTGCTATGACCTCTTGCAAGCTCGTCGCTGCTTCGCGGGCAAGGCTCAGCCCCTTCCCCACGGCTTTGCATTTGCTTATTAAATCGTGGGCAAGGCGAGGAAATCAGCCTGGGCGGTAATTTGCACCATTAGCAGAGGTGATAAACAGAGCAGGGGGGCGAGGGGGGGACAGACGGAAAGGTGTCAAGCAATTAGCGATCTTGTCAGGAGCCCTCTTCCTTACGGTTGTGCCAGGGGAAGGATTCTCCCACCGCCGCTCCAGCCCCACGAGCGAGGGAGGACAGAAGCTGGTCCCCAGCGCTTCGGTCAGTCTTCGCGTCGTGCGTGTTTTGGCTTTTGCCGCCGTACCGCCGATAAACAGATGGCTTCATAGGCCATTACAGCTTTGGGTGACTATTTTGCGAGCATGCAAATGATATTG